GAGACCTCGACTTGGCGGGGCCGGGGGCTGCGCCAAAAGCTGCGGGCGCGGAAAGTGGTGCGAAAAGACTTGGGGTGCGCCGTGATTCCCAAGCTACTAGAGAGAGGTTCAGTGTGCGAAACCCAAAGAATACACGGAAACCACTCGGACCGTGTCACTTTATGGCCAATGCCCAGCAAGCTTAACTTTTGCAGGTTGGAGAGAACATATAAATTCCCAAAACACGAAGTTAATATCCGAGCCACACAATTAATAGCATTCAATCCAATATTCAAGGTCAGTGCGAATCATTATGACGGTGGAGTTTGACTCACGTGCTCCTAAGGCCCTGGCACTGCTGAACCCAGTGAAATCAATTGGGTGACAGTCATCCGATGACCCTAGTTTTCCTCACCCACAAACCACCCTACCTTTGGGGAGGGGGCAGTCACTTTGCCTGGTCTGCTTTGCTATGCCCTGTGTGACCGTATCTTGCTTTTCCTCACCCACAGTGTTGGACGTCTAGATCACTGTTTGGCCCCAGCAAATTTAGTGTGGCTGATCGTGGGGCCTGGTCATGCAAGAGGACACATTATATACCGCGAATGGCAATACCGGCCAAATTCAGTGGTTGGGTTCCTCAAAGTGAGCTTCCCCTTGAAGTGAACAATCTGAAGGGCTCCCGAAACTACTTTTCCCTCTGTGATCAATCGAGGGTAGTTGTGAGGATGTCAGGGTTTCTATCGGGGCCCTTCGGGTCTAAAACAGTTGTCATTTGGCGGGGATAGTTCTTTGTGCTTGTGTCACTGGAAGTGGGTCATCAAAATCAGTGCGGCTTTAGACCCTCAAATTAGGTTGAGTTCACTTTGAACAACACTCTTGATATTCTTTTGGCTTGCCTTAGGCACCATTCAGAAATTCCGAAGGACACACATTTTGAGGCACCATCCGAGCGGAATCCATTGACGCATCCAGTCGTATTTCGGCCCGGCCCCGTGCTCGTTGATGACGCCGTAGGATCCACTTTGGTAGCCGTAGGTGTGGCTGACCTGGGCCCCCCCCCTTTGGACCCGGAAGTCGGGATCGCGGCCTTCGCCTGCAAACAGAACATCCGGGACCGGCTCCCCTCGTTGAGACAAAAACAAACCAGTGAGACAAAGACATGTCGGCAATGACACAACTTGTACATGTTGCTCATGCGAGACGAAAACCAACCCATTGCCATCGTCGCCAAACAGCTTTGAGGACCAAGAGCTGTGTTAGCATCCAACCAGACCACCCGACCCATCCAAGCCTCTTGATCCCCGAATGGAAGGATAAAGGATAAACGCTTAAGAGAATCACCATGCCCAAAGGCATCAAACAATACAACTCTCCTGCCCCTGGCAAGCCCAAGACTGGCGGTTTTGACTGAACTTGGGTGTGTCTGTTTTTGAGGATGCGGCAAACCATATTGGGGTACCCCTGACAAAGACACACGCACTTCATGATTACTTTGTCGAGGGGATGGCGGCGTTAACTTCCTTTCAAACCACCCAGGGGTCCGAGCCTGCAAACAAGACACACACCCACCCTTCCCATTTTTTGGGTGTCTGTTGCTTGAGGGGCCCTCAAAGCAAGTGCTTTCCCTTAAGATTCCCTCCAAAATAACCCAAAACGGGCCAACAAGAAAAACAAAATACAGCCATGTTTACCCCCAGCTCCGCCTGGTCGATGTAGCCGATGGGCTCGAACACCGGATATCCCGCAGTGTCCGGGTCGGGCTGGTAGTCCGGGCCCATGGCAGACCTGGAAAGGCGCGTTCCGAACGGGGGCAACACTCGGCGGCGACCCCACAGCTCCCTTTCCCTTGGTTTCCCGTGGTTTCCCTTTCGTTTCCCTTGGCCCTTTGGTTTCCCTTTGGTTTTTCTTTGGTTTCCCTTTGGTTTCCACTTTCTGAGTTGGTGGGCTAAAAATAAGTCCGATGTTTTTGTATAAGCCACTAAAATGGTCTTCCAAAAAGTTTAAAAAGGTCCATGAAGTCGTGTTCCCGCTACTCCAGCCGTAGCGGTATCACGGCTGATTCGTTCCAGGCGGCCCCAGGTACCGGGGGTAGCTCTCCGGGGTGTAGAAGATGGGCCGCTTCGCGCCCGGGGCGTGATCCGCCGCCGGCACGTAGATCAAGCGCGCCTAGGGCTTCACGGCACTGGCTCGGTGATATCCCCAAGAGGGCTCCCTATATTTGCCCCTTCGAACAAAAAAACGAAATGACACTCACTTTCATACTTTGATTTGGCAACCATGATGCTTAAAACCAACACAACTAGCGAACCCTGCCCAAAGGAGACCAGAACTCCGAAGGGAACCTGGGTCCAAAGTGTTGTGGCGCATCGTCGTATTGGTGGCAATTACTATGGTCAGCTGCTCATCTCGAGCTGGGTGTGAAAACTTGTGGCTAGGGAAACCTCCAGTGGCAATTTTGAGAACTTTAGGCCTTGCTGGAACAAAAAGGGTGTCCATAACCCTCTGGTGGCCCCAAAGCTTTGGGGGGGTCCACTGGAATCAACCCTCGGACTTGGCATTCGTGCCCTGGGCATGGGATCGACTCCTCTCCCTTAAAACAAGCCCCGGATCTTGCCTTTGTCTTCTGTTTTTTGTTTAATGATGTTTTTCCCCCCCGTTTTTTGTTTTGTATTTTTTTCCTCGATCTGTGTTCAAGCTAAGGTAAGAGCGATTGAATCAGCTTTTTATTAGCAAACAGTTTTCCTCAAGCAAAACAAAGTCAAGCAACCACATGCGCCCTCCCGTCCGCATGCAATTCAGGGGGGAAGGGGTAGGGGCTTTGTGGAAGACAATGTTCCTTCTAAAGGGATCTTTCATCTTCCTGGGTGGAAGAGTATTGAAGCACAACCTAGGCTTTTCTCTAGAAAGGGGAAACTCCCCAATGGTTCTCCGCAAACACTAGACAGGCCAAAATGGCTACAATCACTTCCAAGCACTTGAGTTCCAAGACTTGGCACGATTGCCGTAGTTTATGTTGAGGGTACCCTTTTCAGCGTGGCTTAAAACCAAACAAACTTGACAACCACCATTTAGGCCAGGGGGAAAGTAGATAGCGCAATTCCTTAAATGCAAGCAAAGGGAAGGACTACACACGCGCAGCGGCTGTCAGGCCACTTGTCAAAGCATTTAACAGCCGTTGGGGTTGGTGGATCCTGGTACCTGGCGTCTGGTTTTGTACCCCCAAAAGCTTGAACAAGCGTGTGGTGTTTGCCTCTGACAAGTTTAGTCAAACCCGCCTTTGGTAGGTACAATCAACCATGCCTGACTTAGGCAAGCTAGTGGCTGCATCCCATGTGTAAAACAGCATCCCTCCCCAAACAAACATGGACACGGACAACAACAAAAAACGTGCCGCGTTGGCGTTAAGCCCAAAACCAGCTTGGATCGACTTGGCCCCGGGCATCGTTCAAGGCCTCCCCATCGTCCGAGTGGGACACCAACACCGAGCCATCCTGTCGGGTGAGAAGGCCAGGGGTCATTAACCAGGCGCCTGGAGAAACCAAAAGGAGCTGATTGATATAATGTTGCCCCCGGATCTAAGTAGAAGCCTTCCATTGGGGCGGTGCTGGGTAACATCAAACAATTTGTAGCCTAAACATGTAAACAGAAATGGCCGCTAGCCATCTGGCACCAACACTGATCAAAGTTGAAGCCAACTTGACAACTGCCCTGCACCAAAGGGACCTAGAAAACATGATTCGCCTAGGGACGTAGACGTTCCGAAGGTGATTCCGCAGCTTTTCGGCTTGGATCGGAAGAATTCGAAAGGTCCCGTTGACTTCCCAAAATCGAAAGGTTCTCGCAACCTCCAAACTACCAATTGGGTTCATCCCCGTTCTCTTCACCCATCTTTCTGTTCGGAAATTAAACATCTTGGCTGGAGCAAATATCCAAAGAAGGATCCCTCTCGAAAATGTTGGACGGTAAAGCCAGAAACTGATGAAACCATGACCCAAGACCCTAAGACTTTCTTGGGGGGCCCTGTTACACCGGACCCCCGCATCTTGGTTAAAACAAATAATGAAAACATATATAAAGTCGTTGGACCCAGCCATGGAACAGGAAGCCTTTTTGTTGGTTGGCTTCTTCCTCGGTGCCCTACCTCACGATGCCGGCACCACCACCTTCCAGTTGTTCAAGAAAAACAAACCTGCAAGCTTAAAAGACAATTTTGGGCCTTTGGCAGACAATTTGGAAGCTTGCTGCAACAAAGCCTCAAGCAACCTGCAAAGGGCAATTTCGGGGGGGTCTCTTGGATACTTGGGACACGGACCCTCCAACCCGAGTTCCCAAGAGGCGCCTCGGTGGCGGCCTTGCCCACCGCAAAGACCGTGCAGCCCGAGGCGTGCCCGAAGAGGGCGGCCAAAAGATTCAAAGAGCGGGCCATGGCGAACGGGGAGGCAAAGGAACGGCAGAAGCCGCCAAGGGATTGAACGCTTTTGAACACGAGTTGAGTTATATTTGAGGCACCTCTGTTTGCATTTGCTCCTCGCGGCTCGATAAAAGGGGCGAAGAGGGCCAGACAACTTCGCCAGAAAGGATCAGAGGAACAACGGCGCGATTTACATAGAACATGCTGGCCTGGCCAGTACTTCCAGTGAGCTTCAGAGGAATCCAAGAGCACCACTAAAGTACACACAGCAGAGGACCCGATGAAACTCACTAGAGAAAACTGCCGACTGTGCATTGTTCAGCGCTAAATTGCATGCTGAATCCTTGCAATCGTGAAGTCTCGGAGCAACCATGCCGAGAAAGTTTCGGAGAGGCAATTGGGTCTGCGCCTCTGATCAAGAACTGCTCACACCCTCAACCCGCCTTATGAAAAGCATCCAGACTTGCTCGGCCGAAGCCCCAAGCCATATGTGGCTGTGGCTCGGTTTTGGTCCATGTTTCCACTTACCAGGGTTCCGTGTTGGTACGGATTGGTTGAGCCGCAGCCATGTAGCTAACTCCCCAGGGACAAGACACGCCGATTTGACTCCTGCTCTGTCACGGTGTAGTTGCAGTCCAAGGGCACCTGCGGACTTTCAACATGCCCTTCTGCCTGCGACACCCCCGGGACGTCACTTGGATTCTCGAATCGAGTGCGGGTGCGTGTGTGTGTGTGTGTGCGTTTTTGTTCGGGGGAACCTTTTTGTGGTTGGCTCAAAAAACACGCACCATTTACCAGACTGCTGCCATAGAACACACGTCCAGAGACTACACAAGTCAAGTGCTGTGTAGCTTCCATTTGCTTAGGGTGCCATTGAACCATTGCGGATATGTTCCAATCATGTCCATGTCCGATTGAAAGCCAGGAGAAACATGCAAGCACACACACAGAGAAACGTCACCTGAAAGGTACAACATTCTCTTTCGATCGCCTTGCCCTTTCGAAGCAAACAAGAGGAATAAATATCCTTGCAGAACCACATCTCATGCCCTGGAGGTCTTGTTTGTGCCTGATTGCTAGTTACAGCCTCTCGGAGTGATCTGTTGACACGGCTGAGACTCAAGTGAAGGAAGCAATACGAGGAATGCCTTGACTATTGCAAGCAAGATAACAAGAACGCCCTGATCATTTGCCGTATTTTAGATTGGCTCGCGTAGTTCACGGATGGTTTACTTGCCAACATTTAGGGCAGCCATGGCTCTTTCAAAAGCCTCACAGAGCCTAAGCTGAGCGCCCACTTGCCTGTCAAGGGAAACACTTTTCTTGGCCAAACATAGACCGAACAAGGGGAAACACAGACACACACACACACAAGACAAGCCAACACAACCAACGAACCAACGAACGAACGGATGAACAAACACACCAACGAACCAACAAACCAACAAACCAGCCAACCAACCAACCAACCAACCAACCAACCAACCAACCAACCAACCAACCAACCAACCAACCAACCAACCAACCAACCAACCAACCAACCAACCAGCCAGCCAGCCAGCAAACCAGCAAACCGACCAACCGACCAACCGACCTACCGACCCACCAAACAACTAGCCAATCAACCCAAACAAACCCAGCCAGCCACACAACGAACCAACTGATAAAGTGAGCCTGGCAGTGTTCAGGCATTGCAAGCCTCCGCTGTCTTCTTGGGATCAATGCCAATCCTTCACTCAGGCTATGCTTCCGAAATAAACTTAATAGGCTTGAACTATAAAGGCGTTCCGAAACCGTACCTACCTGTTAGCAACCCGAACATGGTGTGTTCATCGTGTTAGTTGTGTCTGAGATCCTGCCGTGCAAAAGGCTCTGTCCCGGCCCGAGTGACCCTGGGCAAAAAGGCACTCGTATCTTGGCAATTGGTATTGAAAGGAGCCTGGCTCCGACAGGGGCACCACTGGTCCGTCTATGATGCATGTCCAACTGGCTGTGGGTCAAAAATTGGTACCCAAAATGGAATCTTGGTACATGGAAACAAAGACAAACACCTGCGTAAACCTAGCCCTTTAATTTTGAGCCACGCCCAACTGAACGAGCCGATGACCAAGCCACCAGGGCCCCCGGCATCTTCACTGGCGCAGGTGCCGAAAGCGAAGGACAGGCACTGCTGCGGCCTGAGCCGGCGATCCTTCCGCGGGAGTTGCGGGTTCGAAGGTTGGCCGCAAGCAGACCATAGCCCTTGGAAGGCCGAAGAAGGCCTTCTTAAGGGCCTTAGTGAGCTCAGAGAGGGGCTTTCTTCGAGGCTGTCTTGGAGCCCATAAGGCCTAGCAATGCAAAGGCTCGCGCCTTGAGGCCATGGAGCTGCTAAGGGGTACTGCGCCAAGTTGGCGGTGTGGCTACCACTTAGGTCTTGGAGGTAATCGTTGGTGGGTATTGTGCACTAGTCAGGATAGCCCAAGGCGCATACACTACCCCAAGACTCCCAAAGACCAGTCGCTCAAATGGATTTACCATGATTTAACACACAGCTCAACATGCATTCGCCATTTGTTTGATGGAGTACGCCGTCTCTATGACAAATTCGGTATGTAGGCACTCTCTGGGTATCACCGGGAGCGGCAATCAGACCCCATGTTTCTTAGATGGTCTCCACTACCCCCAAACCACTACCCCCCCCCCCAAAAAAAAAAAGGAAGAATAAATATATATATATATAACAAAAAACAAAAAACTCTGGAGACCGTTCATCTCTGCATTGAAGAATCTGGGTCCTGGCCTGGGCGACCCCCTCGCTGGAGCCCATGGCCCGACTTAGGACTCCGAGGCTCCGAGATTTGCGTCTCGGTTAACCGCGGCTCCGGGCGCGAAGGACGCGCTCTGGCAGAAGCTCTGGCAGTTCAAGCCGGCCGCCAAGCCTCAAGGGCAAGTCTGGTCCCGCCAAGTGAAGGATTCCGGCGGAAAGAAATGTTGGTCTCAAAATGGGGGGAACCTCCAAAATGGAGGTGTTTTTCCTGTACTCTGCTGCGCTTTTCTAACCCACCCCAAAAGAGGGGCCAAAAATGACGGCCCGTGTGGATTGGCTCCAGAGGCACCCGTAGACCTCAAGCCTCACCCCTCAAGACCTCAATCTCGGTTTTGAGTCCCTAGGCCAAGTACAACACATGCCACAAGCAGTGAGAAAGTCTTGTTTCTTTATTCGTGGAAGCAAAGGCTTGTAGGTGACCACTATGTCACCAAAAGGGAATAAATGCTGGGATTCCCACTATAGTTGTGACCGAGAGCCTCAGGGAGTTTGATTTTGCTTGAAACATGTGCCTTCCTATATTTCCCACCCAAAAAGGACAACCCTTCAATGTGGCATCAACGGGACGTCCCAAACAACCCCCAAAGCAACATTTAGGGAGGATTTTGGGTTGTACATGTTGGGATGCACCTCTTGTGGTGAATGTTCAAACTTTCAGCAAAAGGACACAAACCTCTTTGCGGTTGAAAGGAAACGCCAGGGACATGTTGGGAGATGTCGAATTTCGAGCTGCGCCACCACCTCTGGCGGCGCGTGCGCGGCGTCCTGGGGCGCCCACTGACCTGGAGCCCGCAGCTCTGGTCCGGGCGAGGCCTCGGAGCAGAGGTTTCGCAGGGGTGGCTTTTTTCTGTGGTCTCTTTAGGGAGAAAGGCAATACCAAGTGCCGAACATCTAGTTGTTGTCGTTTTTGTGCGAGGCAAATTTGTTGGTTGGTTTAAAGGGAAGCTCCATGAGAAAAGCGGAGAACAGTGCGCTTTTGGAGGTTGCACGCCACATGAGGCTCGGTGTTGCCTTTCAAGCAGCACAAACAGGACAGGTACCAACTCAAGAACATCTGGGGGTCCAGGGGTGGGTTGCTTGTCTACTGTCTTCGGTGCCTTGTCGCAATCAAGCTGCCACTTCTCGAGATCCGAACAAACTCCCAAAGGGGCGCCCAGCGACATGGGTATACGGTAGAAGCGTCCCACTAGTAGCGGATAGCAACCCCAAGTCTAATTGTTTCATTTAGATGACTCCCCGAAACATAGATGGCCAAGTTTAAGTAACCTCAAGTAAGCTCCCACGAAAACAGCCAATTGAAAAGAAACCTCTTGGAACGGCTCCCAATCTGTGGCACGGGTGGCCAGTCGCCCCATGCGCCGAGAACCGTGCGCACACGTCGTGGCATTGGCTCCGCTAGTGTCTGAGCAACCATCGAGGCTGGCCTGGCCACCGGTCCCCAAGTCAATCGGCCCCAAGGGTCGATTTTTTTTGGGCCCCAAGGGCCGATGTTTCTTCTGGTTCTCTCTTGCATGTTCTTTTCGTATATCCAAATCCCAGAACCTTGGGAGACAACTTTAGGGTGCCCAGGGCTGCCTCACAAAAATAGGATGCTGACGAATTGGCACATTCATCAATGCCGGTGTTCCATACTTGCGGCTCGACAGGGCCTTGCGTCTTAGAGACCTCAAAAACACGAAGGTAAACCCTGACTTATGAGTACGTGACCATCTTGGAGAGCCCAGGTGCTAGAAGGGCCTGATAATTAGAATTGGGCTGTGGGGAATTAGTCTATACTACAATTTGTGTCATGATCATAAAAAGAAACATATCAGCTATTTAGCCCTACAAGGTAGCCAGTTGTGCTTTTTTGCCCCAAACCTGCAACGCTTTAGGGCATCACTTTGTCCCGCGTGCATCTGTTCAAAGCTGCTGGTAGCAATCATGGAATGGACATGCAGTTTGCTTCTGAAAGACCTAAGGGGCCTTTGAGATTCCGAGAAAGGGTAGCCACTCAGCTTCCTTCTTGGTGGTAAAGTGTGGATTGGTGTTTTTGTCCGGTGTTCCAGGCTTGTTTTCCCCTCCGTCTTGAACCGCGGTGAAAACACCCACCAATCCAAACCACTTTGGCTGCCCTGGCTTCAGCTAGCGCGCCTCCGCGGATGCAAAGGCCCTGGCCAAGAGTCGCAAGCCCACGAGGATTGAATCAGGCGGCGAGTCTTTTGGGCTTGCTTCAAATCGAACATCGCGAGTACCCACATTTTTTGGGAGGCAGTTTCTCTGGTGTGTGTGTCTGTGTGTGTGTGTGCGTGTGTTTTATTTGAGAGTGCCCTCTTCTGGTTGGGTTGCTTTGAAAGGACACCGAAGGGAACCGAATCTCATTTCTCCGGTGTGTGTGTGTGGTTTTCAGGGCACCCCTGGTTTACTGAAGGGAAACCAATGGAACACCTTCCTTTTGGGATTCCCAGGAAAACGCCAGCGTTTTTCCGGCGGCTCAACCTGTTTTGGATTGGTTCGGAAGATTGGCATGTTCAGTCAGTCTTCACCTTTCACAGCAGCTTTTATCATTCAGCTCCTCAAACCACCAAGCCAAGGCACCAATTGGGGTAATCTGATTAGGTGACACAAGTGTGAACAAGAACCAGCCATTCTCCGAGCTGAATTGTGGAATCAGTGGTTGGCAGTCAGCGGATTCCACCAAAAAAGGAATCAATCAAGATGGGAATACCACGTAATTATCCGGCTCGGACCGATGCCGGCATTGTTTCCTCTTTGGGCTTTCCCCTTTGGATTCCATCAAAAAGAAGGCACAAACTTTGTCTAGTGCTTGCTTTTAAAGGGAGCCCCCCTTTCAGGGCGGCTTCAGCAAGGTTCCAAAAGTTGAAGCCAAGCAACCCACCCACCCGGGCAGATGTTTCCCCTTCAACTGTCAAAGATCCCAACCCAAACAAGAAGCCGCGCAAAGGGGGGGCTGCCGACCGGTTTCGGGCCCCGGCTGGAGCACTGCACTGGTGGCTTCTGCCGCAGAGGTGGAGCCCGTGCCGGGCCTGCGACGGAGGGATTGGGACTTGGGACTTGGGCCAAAGACTTGAGACTTGGGTTGCTCTCCCTTGCTCTTTGTCTTTCTGAGTGTGGTCCAGCATGGGTCAGGATTGTTTGGATCGATGAGAAAACCCCAAACGCTGCAACTCACTGGGTTCCACTGGATCGCCACTTTGAGTCAGATGCCCATTGGCCATGGAAAAAAGAGGGCATCCTTTTTGGGTTGGTTGACTGTGAAGGGGAACCCTTCCAAAAAAAAAGGAAAATAGGGTACCACTCCGCAACTGGGCTAAAACAACGGGCAAAATGGAAGCTCAAAGTTGCCAGATCCGGTCGATTCGCTTGAGGACAATGCCCGCCTGGAGGGCCAAGTGGCCGCCAGCAAACCCGCTGCGGAAGCCAATGCCGGGGACTGGCGGCGATCCGATGCGTGCGACGTTTCACCCGGAAAAAGAAGAAGAAACAAAACGGAGGGTAGCCGCTGCAAGGTGTTTTTGCCCAGAGTTTGTCCTGCTACGCGTACTCTTTTGGCTTTAGGAACATCAGTTTCTATGAACTTTTGTGAGGAATACCGCCATGGTTGGTGGGCATGAATCCCCCCCACCTACATGATGGTCACCTGGGCTGTCCTCAGATTTGCTAAGCGGTTCACCTTTAACTAGCAAAATAAGACAAACTAAGAACAACTAAACACTAACAACTAACTAACAACCTAGAACAACTAACAACCTAAGAACCCAACAACTAACCAACTATCAACCTAAGAACCTACAGCACCGGACGCCTGGAAACCGCCAAGTCGCGTCTCCGGCCTGCTGCCCTACGGCGGCGTAGACGGTGGCCGCGGCCATGCTGGCATTCAGTCCCTCGGATGTCCGGCGGTGTATCAGCCTGCCATATCTGCAATATGACGGGTGTGTCTTTCTTTAGGGAACCCCAGAATGAGTGGATTCCCTGTAGCTTTTTCTGTGGTTTCCCTTTAAAGCAACCCCCAAAAAAGTACCCTCAAAAATCCACGCACCTATGTCTGAAAGTTCCTTTAGGTCCTTGGATTTTGCCGGCTTCGCACTGAGCCCGCCGCTGCACCAATGGCGGCCTGAGAGCAACACCGACGAACGCGAACAAAGAATTGTGCGTGTTTGCCAGGATGGGAGACCCCCAAGGGACAAGGGTAGTCCTTTCGAACTCTCTTTTTTTGAGCCAACCTAAAAAGGGCTACCCTCAGAAAACACAAACCCCATTTTGGGAGGGGTTCCAACCAATCACCAGGAGTGGGTTACGCTTGCCATTTGACCAACGCATTTCCAAGGGCCTGTTGCCCCCGTTGGCACGGCAAGCGAGTCCGAGTGGCAAAGTAGGCCGCTGCGGCCAGCTCCTTCAGGTCGACACTTCCAGCTCCTTCCGCTCGCCCCAAATGCGAAAGGGCCAGTCGGCTCAGTGGTCAGCACCCCCTGGTTGACCCCAGAGTTCAACCCCCAGCCATAAGTGGGTGAGCCTTACTTGAGGGAATTTAGTTCACCCCAGTAAACCCACAAGTGGGTGTGTCCTTTTTGAGGGTAACCCTTTTTGGTTGGTGTTAAAGGAAAAACAAGAGGAACACCACCATGTTGGGGGGTCTCCTCCAAAAAGACACACCCAAGTAGAGTTGCTAGCCATTTAGATCAAGTTCATTTGCCTTCCCACAGTGATTATGTGCGTGGTTCCTTACACCGTGCTTGCCTGGATGCCTGATCGCTTGAAGTGTTACACAGCAGACAATGCTCGCATTGTAAATCCTTCTTTTGATGAGGCATGAGGTGCCCGTCTCCTGAACTTCTCCTGACGGTCTTTTGCTTGATGGTCAGATGCCTGACTCACTGACGTGTTTAAACTCGGTTGATGCGCATTTGCTGTCATTTCAATTACCCAGCCACTGGGTCGTCTTATTGCTAGTGCGAACATACCTTGGTGTCCAACTACGTAGCATCAGCTATGACTGGTATACTGTATATCTCGCTTTGCGGCCGTGTGTTCGCACGACCACTGAGGTCGTCTTTGGTGAGTTTGCATGTTTGAGGACTCTTGCTGATGTATTTACCACTCAGCACTTGTGCAGCACGCCCTAGCCCTGGCTCTGACTTCTGTGTACGTGTTTGAAATGGCTCGTCTTTGCTTGACTTTCCCGGGTTGACGGTGAGATGGAATCTCCTTTTTGAGGGTTTGTGTTTGTTTCCGGTCCCTTTTTGTTTGCTTGGGGGGATGACCCGTCCGGTTGTCTCGATTTTGTTCGCCCGCCACTCGTCTTTTGTATGTCTCACCGCAACTGCGCTTCTTTCCTACCAAGGTTAGGGAGAGAGGTGTGGCGGCCAATGGGTCGTATAAGCTAAAGGGGAAAAAAAGGCGAAGTCGCGATCAGCTCCGCCATGGACTACGCGTGCCTGTCCACGAAAATGTTGCCGGCATCAAAAGCCTCTCAAACTCTGACACGAGGTAGCCCCACTTCAAGAGCACATGGCAAATTTGGTGAGTTCTGTAGGTATTGCCGACTCAACATTTAGTGAGTTCCCCCCAGGGCGCCCCCAAACGGGCCATGCACTCACAGCGAGTACCGCTGTTGCGCAAATCATCGCAGAAATGTTCGACCCCTTTGGGCCTCCTGTTCAGTGTTCCAAGTATTTCCCAGCAAAATGACAGGTTTCTCCCTTGCAAATTGACGTGGAACCCCAAATTGGGGTTCCCCAGAAGGAGATGCCACCCACCAATTTAAAGCTCCCAATCCAAAATTGTTATATTTCCACCAACCCCTAGACGTGGTTTACATTTTTTGAGTTCTCGCCATAGAAGTCTATGGGCAAGACTCACTTTCAGCATCTTTCCGCCCATCTTCCTCCTTCAGCCGCTAGAAGCTGGACGACCTGGCCGATTGCGACACGAACTCAGCCCAGTGGATCTCCATAGGACTTCTTGTCGTCAGGTTTTACCGCTTTCCCCCGTCCGGAAAAAAGGCACATGGTGCCGCCGGGCTGGGCGAATTGTCGACAAAACTTGTTAAACTAACATGAAGCACTGGTTTTCTCTAGATTTCCGTGTTCTGCGGGGAATTGATGCCCCAAGGATGATACCTATTACTACCACAAAATCCTTTGGACATGGACGAAAGCGATACTTGTAACATTGCCCCCTACCCACACACCATTCTAGCGGTAGCCTAATCTCTGAAAAAACAAGCCTTCTCTTCAAGAAAAAACAACCAACAACCCGAACTGCAGGGAAAGATGGGTGAAGGTATATAAGTGGGGAGATGAACCCCTATCATGGGGCTCCTCACTTCCGTGGATGTGCCCAAACAGGGCAAATCTGCTTGTTTCGGACCAAACTGGTCTGGTCTTAGGAAACATATGAACCGGGAAAGCGCGGCTCAATTAACTATCGGTGGGGTGGGGAATGGGTGGCCAGGATCTGCGAAGGAAGCAACAAGCCGGGTTGGTTGGAGATTTCCTGAGCTCATTGAGACTATATGTTTCACGACAAAACATCCCCTTCAGGCGACCGTGAATGTGAAGGTAGAGCATTTAAGTTCAAGCAACTAGGGTGTGCAATCATAGGGCGACCCTCTCCGCTTTTGGATGGCTTTTGAGGGCAACTGGCAAACACACCATGTTCAGTGGACCCCGATGCTTGGAAACACCCAGCTGTCATGCTGCCTCTTTTCCAGACAGCAAAACCAACCTTTGGAACCAGCGGCTGGCCTCCTGCGCCAAGGCCCCCACATCGCCCTGGATGACGCATCGATTCGCGGAAGTGGTCTCCGAACAAAAACGGTGCTCCGTCTTTGTTTGAGGCCCGGCACTCGTGTCAGGGTTGGCTTAGGGGAAACAAAACGGAAACCACGCTTCGTTGGCTTCCGCAAGTTTGACACATGTAGAGATTCTCCAGCCATTGTCTAAGGTGGGAAAATGGGGATCAACTATGTCGTCTCTGGTTGGATTGGAATGGCGGTGCTGGAGAAGCCTTCCATGTCGTTAACAGACATTTGCAATTTCCCAAACCTCTCAAGGGCTGCCTTCAAAAAAATATTTTCAATGGAACGACGACTATATGGGTGGGAATTTTAATAGCGGCCCGGTGGACATTGATTGCAGGATTTCAGACGATATGGTTCCCCATAAAGATGTTGTAGCCTTTTATGTGCACTTCATTCAGGGGATCATGCGGATCCTCGCACGCACCAGCACAATATCGTTAATCCGGATTGGGCCAACCCCCGTGGTTTTCAAACATGTTTAGGCCATTGTTGTTTAAACAACCTCCTCGCGGTTCCGTTTTAAGCGTGCCAACCCCGTCTGTCCCTCAACATCACCGCAGAGACAGAACACACTTCCCAAAGTTTCAGGCAGCCAAACAATTTATAGCTGACCCAAAACCCGTAAAGGGAACAGCAGGACGTCTGCTTCCAAGCCAAAGTGAAGCCAGCCATGTCGGGGAAGCCAAAGGGAAACCAAAGGGAGACCAAAGGGAAGCAACTGTTGTGGAAACCCTAGGAACACCATAGAAGACCAAACAAACATGGACAGACTCTAGGACCAACGAACACCGGAGACACACAAGTGAATTTGGAGCCACCGACTTTCAAGGTACCACTTCCCGGTCTGGCGGCCCGCCTGAAAGGCTTGCGCGGCACGGTGTCCCACCACCGACGCCGTGGCGGAGGTGGGAAAGGAAAAGCCTCGTGACGGGGAAAAGATGGGTGCAGTCGGGTGAAAGTCGAAGGTAGACCCTCCCACTGATTAAAATGGAGCCTGACAAGAGCTGGAAGACATTTGTCTTTCTAAAGTCAGGTTCCATGTTAATTGGGGGAAGGGTAGTTCAAACCCATTTTGGATTGGTCAACCCCTTGACTTTCCCGCGTACAGGGAACTGCACTTGTGCACAGACCTGAAAATTGACAGGGAACCATGGAACCCCCCAAAAAACCTTATAGAGGAAACTGCTTCTCGGGCACTCGCCTTCACAACAACGACTGTGTCTGGTCCACGCAACAGTAAGAGGACAAGAGAAATAAGCTTGTTCTTCTTGCCAGTTTATAGGCTGAATGAATATCCATTTGGGTGTCTCGTTTTTTGAGGGCGCCCCTTATTGCAAGACCCAAAGAAAACCACTCAATTTGCGGGCTCCCCGATTTTGAGACAACCGCATAAGTGCAACGCGTGTTCATAGAATAAGAATAATACAGTGATACAACCTCAAAATGCAATATGGCGCAAACTGCGGAGCGCATCCTTTTACTTGAGCAAAAGCAAATCAGTTTGTCTGAGATCTAGTAATCGAAGGTTAAGTCTTGGCAATACTAAATTTACGGGTAGATATAGAATTGGCCAAGTGTAAATTACGTACTGGGAATCTGAATTTAGTCTTGACACAACTAATTTTGGAATTGGTAATTCTAAGTTGAGTCCAGGGAGTTTGAATTCAGTCTTGGCAATACGTACTAGAATTAGAATTTGCAATTCAAAGAATAGTCCTGGGTATGCTTGGCAATGCTAAATTGACATAAGTATTGGCGAGCCCAAGTCCAACCCAGACCCCCCGCCCAAGTTTTCCACTCCAGAGGCTCAACGTAACTTAGATTTTGCAACAGGCACTTCCACCCTCCTCTGGTTGTTGGTGTGTGTGTGTGTGTTTTCCTTAGCCCTCAAAATGATCAGGTGCCTTTGTTTGGTTCCCATAGCATACCATCAAGCGGGTACAACGTCCATATTTCCACACACACAATACTGCAGGAGTACAGCACCAACTCGCAAGGTGTATGGTTGATGCTCTGCCCATGGAAAAGATGAGGTGGCCGTGGGTCAACACTAGGTAGCCCAAATGGAAACCTAGTAAGCGGAAACATGGACCAAAACCTGCGGTTCCCTGGTGGTTTAATTTTGACCCGTACCCAGGTGACCATCTAGCAAAACTGAAAATCCCTGGTAAGCCAGGCACTGTACTCCTACAGGTTCCCCTTGGGCGTTCCATGTGAAATTGCAGCGCGGAAATGTACTTCTACCACTTCTGGCTAAACATGGGGCTGAACAAAAAACCCCTGATGAACTGGGGGTACAGTGTTCTTTTGGACAAACACATGCACCTCGTTTCGGTGCCCCCCATCGGAACATTATCAAGTCAGAGCTATTCAGCGCTCAGTGAGATGTCCAGCGGCAGTTTCGACTGATCTACTTGGCCGCCCTGCGTGTCAAGAAGGGCCCGATGTCTCCCTGCCGCGTAAGGCGTGCGCAAGGCGGCGGGCAAGGCGCCTCCCCTGTGCAAAAGCCCCGAAGAAATGGACCAGACATAGATCCCGGCAACAAGTTAGCTCTCTGCTAGTGAAAAGAGAAAATAAAGGATACAAGGATTTCCGAGAATGACTAGTTAAGAGTTAAGGTGTTCAATGACAAATGAGCGGTTGCTCGGCTCCCCTACCACTTTTGATACGCGCCCGTATGAAAGCTTCCTGGCATGAGTCCCAAAAACCGCGATCTTCGACCTCCTTTTAGGTGGGAGCTTCAAGGGAGGCTCCTTTGTAGCTGGACTAGCCCCAAACGGCGAACGGCTGACACAGCTGGCAAGTGAGCCCACAGGACATGGAAACAGGCTCACGTTTTGACACATTGACTAAAACTGAAGCATACAAAAAGAAAAAAAGGTCAACTTTGAGGTAAATCCACCAAAAACAAGGAAGCACACAAATCCTTTCGATCCGCGGTTGAGCTCGCAGCCCAGCCTGCGTGCGGCGGTTGGAGAGAGCGACCTGAGCGGAAGCCCGGAACAAATGGGAAACAAATACCCACTTTTGGGTAGGGGAACCTCGGGTCATCCCGCAAGCTGGCTACTCCGGACGCTCAAGGGCATGTCTTTTCGAGCCCCCAAGACATGCCTTGCAACAAGTCCCAACCTGACCAACCTTAGACCTGACCTCATTTTACTCATCACCACGACCCGGTGGAGTAATTAATCGATCCGGATTAAACGGTTGTCCCCAAAAGATGACGAATCCCATCCCTAAAAAAGACGACATAGCAATCCTGGGCCTCCAGCCAAAACCCCAACTCCAAAGGTTACGGGGACTAAGAGAGCCAGGGGCAGCTGAAACAATATGATGCATGCCATCATCCGCAAAAAAAGGCCGTTATTGGAAGTGTAGCGCCTGTCAAATGAGAGAAAAGCTTTTTGAAACTGACGCCATGTTGACAATTTGAAAGTCACAAGGTGCCAGAACGGATCGAAATCCAACAGCGTGACAAAGGTTGAGGCCTTAACCCTGCAGAAAGCCCTATAAATGCAAAAAGCACTCACTGTCCGAGTTGCTCTCACGGCCTTGGTTGACAGATCGAAGTGAACCCGCAACAAAAAGGAACTCCTGTGGAAGAACAAATAATCGTCCGTGGCTCGCATGGTCACTCTTAAAACATCCTACTAGCTCCAAAAACCTATCACCTGGGCCATAAAGCAGTGTACCACCTTTATTACTGGTCGATTTTAGTTCCGTGACCCAATTATCTATTACCCCCCCCTTCGGACGGTGGTTTGGCAGTGAACATCTTTTTAGACCCACTCAGGCCATCCCCATGACCAGGCAAGTCACTCTAAGACTTCCTGGTACGTCAAATTCCCGATGTGGCGAGTAACCAAGTGCAAAAATTGGTACTATACCGGGATTTCCGTATGGCAACATACGGACTTCCCGTTCCAAATAGACTGTATCACGAAAGCTGAGCTGGGGTCCTTACACATATCCCCGTACAACATCATACCACCCGAGCGCGCAATCAGAGGTGATGTTTTGAATTATTCAAGAGAGGGAATATCTTTCCCCTTCCCCCAATCAGGCCACCCCTTCATTGCCCAGAACGACCAAATGGCAAAAACAGGGAGTGGAAAAAAAAAGGACAAGTGCCCTACAGGGTTTCCTTTCGGAGAAAAAACAAGTGGCTCCTGTAGAGAATGGGGAAAAAATACCACCGAAAAGAACACCACAGAAAACCAATCGAAACAAAGGAACCTAAACCTAAGGCCCAAGGAGGATTAAATCTATCTCGCACCAGTTGATATGAGGTTTGTCCCATTCATAGGGGAGTTTCTCAAAATGGTGGACCTCATCTTGGTATGTAAAGGGAACCCAGGAAGGGAAACAACACGGTCCGTTGATCCGCCTGTTCTAAAAACAAACAACCTAGGGTTCCATCCAAATGCCCAAATGGTGCGAAGCAGATTGCGAGTCCATCCGCACTAAGATGGGCTGATTGACCGCAGCTCAGTTCTCTGCTGCGCTCTGGAGGACGGTGACCTGGAAGATTGGCCCAGACCCCTCCTGGCGAGGCGTATGAGCAGAGATAATATAGGTGCCTGAATAATCCAAAAATCAGAATGGGGTTGTGGGGTACTTTCAAGCTATTTGTTAGCGCCTTACATTCATCATGACAACTGATTCGACAACTGGGTGTTTCAAGGGATTCGTACGGCAAAAAAGCCCGCCTCGCCCATAGCTTTGGCCGCCTGGCAATCGATGCGGGAGTCAGCCCTCTTTGCCCTGGGGATCCTTGTTGCCATCTTCTGCTGGTTGTTGCAACAGTTGCCTTCAAATTGTTGTATTTGCCTAAAAACTACAAACAGTTTTACAAACACAGGGTCAAAACGATTGCAGTTTTAAACATACGGGTTGGTCGTCGTTTTTATGTTTCTTTTTTTTGCTTCGGAAACACTCCAACATGGTGGTGCATGCTTGTTTCCATTTCGAACGACATACACACTAAGTTAAAAGTTTAAAGGGGTACCCTTCTAGGGATACCTTCCCCATTCTTTCCAGGGATCCTTCTTTTCAGGAAACCATCAAAAACCCAGGGGGGAAACAGCCGGTTTTTGAAAAGAACGATGGTTGAAAAGAGTGGAAAAGGAACCCTCGAAGAAATACCACACCAATCTTAAGTTTCTTTACCAAGGCCGCGTCTCATTTTGCTCTACTTCCCAGGCGAATGGACACATATGTCAGATGATTCCCCTAACCTGCCTTCCCCGTATCTCAATTAAGGAGAGATACGCAGTCGATTCCGGGGGCTCAGCCTTTGTTTGGAACGTAAAATGTCTCAGAATGAGGGATTACCAGGTGGCTAATTTCCTCTCATTTCCCCGGTGAAACCATCCAAAAAGCTGGATCTGTCTCTTCGAGACATACTAGAAACATGTCAAAATGACTAGGAGACTGGGAGGAAACAGGTGCAGCTTGCTTTAACTTTCCCACTGTTTCCCCACTTGCAGGCAACTTAGCTTTTGGCGGGCCGCCAAAAAGAGTTTGACGGAAAGAACGTGGCCATCGAGCTGGAAAAAAAAACGTATTAAAACTCTTATCCCAGGATGTTTTCATTGCAAATCCAAGCGGCGGTCTTCATAAGAGTGAGGTCCCCCAAAAACATGCCCCTTAAGTGTATGAGGTCTCAGGTGTGTACACCGCTGCACATTGTTGCTGGCTGCTGCTGCTGGCTGCTGCTGCTGCTGCTGCTGCTGCTGCTGCTGGCTGCTGCTGCTGCTGCTGCTGCTGGCTGCTGCTGCTGCTGCTGGCTGCTGCGGCTGCTGCTGGCTGCTGCTGCTGCGGCTGCTGCTGCTGGCTGCTGTTGCTGCTGCTGCTGGCTGCTGCTGCAACTCATTGCTGGGATCTGCAGAAACAAAGAAAATGCAAACTACAGAAATGGGCCACTCCTGATCCAAGGCATCTACGACTTGCGCGCGACTTGCGCGCGACTTGCGCGCGACTTGCGCGAAAATTTAGCAATCTTCCGGATTCTTTCGACCATGCGGATGATGATTATGATGATGATGATGATGATGATGATGATGATGATGATGATGATGATGAATCATCACTGCGTCACTTGCGCTTTACTTGCGCGGCCCCATGTTTGACTTGCGCGGCCGCTCCTGCAACACACTCCTGCCATTCAAATTACAAGCGGCGGTGCAGCTAATTTGATAGGTCCAAAGGACCTGGGATCATGCCTGACATTGACACATACAACGGTGTTTTTCATTTATTTTTTATTTTTTTTCGACTCATCTGAACAGGTGGCCAGTTTCAATGCGAACCCAAGTAGTGCACAAAGCCCATGGTGCAGTTGGACACTTCTAGCAACAAAGACGCCTGACGCTATCAAACGGAGGCGACAAACAAGGATGAATAAACCCACCCTATTAGTGGTTTTTACACTTTTTTCAGGGAAGGACCTCTTTGCAAGAACACGGCTGATGTCTGTCCGCGCGGCCGCGCTAGCGTGATTTGGGTGTTGACAACATGGCGTGCAAGTTTTGCAAGCAAGGGCATCGCTCAGGGACAAACACAACACCGGAAAACCAAACCATTTGGACACCTGGGTCCTCCAGTAGAGAGGATAGAATATGGGTACCAACTTTCTTTCTTTTTTCTCGGTTGTCTGTTTTAGTAGGGGAACCCTCCGCCCAAGAAAAGGGTAAAAGAGCACTACTGGGGACCTAGACACGGTAGAATGTCAACAGTGTTCTTTTGGCATAGGCGCTTGACATGCCAACTCCTCGCCTGGGGAAAGGCTTGAAACGGAGCCGCTTTGAACTCCGCAATTGGCAGATGTACGAAACACCTAACGTGCCGGCTTGTGAAGAGTGGCCACGCAAGAGGCCAAATCCGGTTGTACTGCAGGCGTTTTACATGCTTGCTGAAAGACACACATATCCGATGCTTCTTGTCCCTCCAAGTCACGAACGCATGTCACGCAAGTGTTTGGCCACGTGCAGCATTGGCATGTAGTTCTGTTCTGCAAGGGTGAGTTTCGCCTGTGTATGAAGACAGTGCCTTCCGCAGGGGCCTGGTTCGCGGGGGGCGGGTTCGTCGGGGTTGTGGTGCTTGCTCGGTGCGTAATTTGCCCCCCTCCCACCCACCCCCACCCCCACCCCCGAAAAAGAGCAAGGTCTCGAGGGTGAAAAAACGCGTTTTTACTGGCGGTTGATTCAGGGTCTCTCACCTAGTAGTAGGGGGTGCCCTAATCCCAACTAAAAGGGGACACCCCCAATCACAAGCAGGGGGTTACTCATGGTTGGAAACAAAAAGGGAAGCCAAAAGGAATCCCACCACTTTGGTTGGGGCGGGCGTTGGTTTAAAGGGAACCAAAAGTAAATCCACCATCTTCTCTCTTCCTGGAGTCTCCATGACCCTTAAACAATTTGGTCATTACCCAAAATAAATGGGTCATGACCCCATTTTTAAAGGGTCATGGAGACTCAAGGTTTATGTTTCTTTCTTTTTTTTTGGGGGGGAGGGGCGGTTCCCCAAAACGAGACCCACCCAAGTGACAACAGTCCAACTCACGGCCATTCGGCCAACCGAACCGCCTGGGCCAAGACCTTGGCGTCAGCGAGCGGGTCGCTTGGAAGGTGCGTCACCAGTGCTGGCGCCTTGGTGCGACCGAGATCCCATGCACCCCATCTGTTTCCGTCGCCTTCCTTCAAATTCGCGTTGCTTTTTTGTTTTGTTTTTGTTCTTTTTGGTTTCCCTTGAAACCAACCTCCGACTTCAAGAAAGGGTACCCTCCAAACAAATCTTGCTGAGGGGATTGGCCGAACATTCAAATGGCACACACACACACTCGGATGGAGGCACGGGGACCCCATTTCGCTTTGGCCCCGCGCCAGCTCCCAGAGCCAAGCACCAGCGCAGTGCGCCAGCGGCGCCAGCACAAGCCTGCAACGAAGTGAGGGATGAGCCAAGAGCAATCTCATCCAAGGTGGCTATGGGGCGTTAACTCAGGGGACTGGGATATCCCTGGCCTCCATTGGAGGTTCACCGCAAAGTGTAATCGCAGACAATGACCGTGTGCAAAATAAACAAGTGAGAAGATTCTCATGCTCAGTGGCCCAGCTTGGACCCACAGCAACTAAACACGAACCACAAGTGGAACACCAAGAGATCCAAGGGTCGGCTTTGGGCAAGTGAGCATGTGGTACCCCTCCGATACGCAGTAAATGACGAAATAAGAGGTACAAAGAATTGCAGGTTTCGCAGTTTCACCGCCTTCTTCGGGCTTCCAGTTGCAAGCCATTGCAGGGAGCCACTTGGATTTGTTACCTGCCTTTCAAAAGTTGGTGGCCAGTGAGATGTCCAACCTGAGCTTGAATATCTCCTGCGGCCATACCCGTTTGCGGGCAAGGACAGTCCCACTTAGGAGATAAGTGAGCGGTACATTAGAGTACATGCGGGATAAATGAGGGATACATAGTGGACATCAAAGACATTGGTTCACTCGCTTTAAAACCGAACAAAAGGAACGCCATCCAGATGCCCCTGCTTTTTGCTGCAAATATCCATGGGGTTGGAACTGTTGGGCTGCTTCTGCCAGAGTAAATTCACCAGTTCCCTCAAACCCACAATTCCTGGGTTCAAAATTCTGGCTGCAAGGGTCCCCTTCTTGTCCGGCGCGGCTGCAGTTTTGTGGCTCTTCATGTTCACCCCAACACAGTGATACAACCTTAAGGCGTGCCTTCAAAAGCAAACACCCATATGGCTGTGGCTGAAAAACATGTACAACAATGGCACCTTGCCAATTGGTCACTAAGACTAAAACCTGCGGATCCCTGCCTAGAGTCTCCATGACCCTTTAAACACGGGGTTTATTTTGGGCAATGACCCATGGAGACTCCAGGTAGGTCTTTAATTTTGAGCCACACCCATATCCCCTTTGGAATTGTGTACCTTCGGAAAAGAAAGGTCTCCGTGGGAGCGAAAGCTCAGCGTCCAGCAGGTCGCGCGCGGACCGCGGAGGCGGAAGAGAGAGTAAGGCCTGGGCGAAAAGGCAAGGAAAGCCGAAGTACTTCCATTTGGTTCAGACTCATGGAAAAATGAAAAAAACATGTCCAGAAGGAAGAAAAAATCCTTGTAAAAAACCCAGGGAAAGTAAATCATATTCATTTCAGCAAATGGAGGAGTAGGGCTCCTTTTGCCTGGAGTCTCCATGACCCTCACAAATGCGGCCACGACCCCTTTCTGTTGTGAATGATCCCCAATTGTAAGGGGTCAGAAGAAGACTCCAGGTACTAATGTACCAGGGTCAAAACCTTTTTTGTGAGCCATTGCTACAGTGGTCCATGACCATCCCACTTCCGGAGCCAAAAAGGGCATTGACCACGACCCACATCATGCTATAGGCCTCTACTGTAGAACACAGGAAACAAATGGACTTACGGACGCATGTTTGGTTGGGAACCCAAACATCATATACATGGGAATTCACAATCAAACAAGGGCAACAACATAACACATTCCAGTTGGTCACGGTTGCGCCGGTCGCCTGGTATCAAACACTGTTTTGTTACTTTTCTTCTTAAGTGCTACTTTTCCACCATCGACTCAGCGCAGCCGCGTCCAACTGGGGGGGTGGGGGGGGTGGGGGGGGAGGGGGGATGATTACGTTCGGTCCCTCGGTTCTTTTCACGGCTCGGTAGGGATGTCTACTGACCTGGCCCAGCTGAGTCCTGAAGATGTACAAACCAGTGGCTTCTTGAATTGTGTCAGCAATCGTGACCTTCTAGTTACAGGGAAAACTGCTGACTTAGACGAGGAACATGATGCAGAGACAGGTCACAGCAAGTCATGGTCCTAGTGCAACAAGCGTGGTTTGTCCAGCCATCTAAGTGGCCCGTGTCCGAGTATTATGCTTGCCACCTTCTGCCTTTTTCTTATTCTATTGTCGTCTTCTTCTTTGCTATTCTCCTCCTTATTTGTCAGGTCGTTCCTTCAGCCCCCCGCTCATGTTCTTGAAGATCACATTCAGTGATACCAACAGTGGGCCATCCTCATTGTTTACTCGGAAGGGCACTGTCTTGGTTTCAAGGAAGATTCACACTTTCGGACATTGTGGGAATTGCCCAAACTTCTGCTATACCTTTTTTACCTGGCCTTCCAAAACACGAAAACTGCTCTTATAAAAATATGAGGTGTCTTGAGCTAGGGACCCCCAAACTCCCAAACAAATAGTGGCGTCCCTTTGGTTTTCCATTAGCTAAGCTCAATCATCCTCATCAAATGACTGACCCATATTTATTCCCTCAACCTATCACAACCAAACATCAGGGGGACGGGACGTCCAAGGGATCTCGGAGCTCCGGGCGCCATAGAGCCTGGAGTTTGTTAGCCCAAAAATGGATGCCCCTAAAAGATACGCACGTTTGTTAAAGAATGACATATTGGATCAAGCTGTGGCCTCTTTACTTTGCAATATGTGTTTTGCCTAGGCAGGGAGGCTTTGGGTATGGGAAAGAGTTGTGTAACAAACCACGTAAATAAACGTGTTGCAGCCATGCCATTTGAAACTTTGAACATTATGTACTGACAGCTCCTGGGTTGGTGTATGTGCGCCCTCGTCCTCCCTCGTTTGTTTGCAGCAAAGTTTGCCATAGATTTGCGCCGGGCCAGCGCAAACCGATTTTCAAGTTGAACGTGCCCTCGCCTACTTGTAGCCACGGTTGTGTTTGGGTTTGCGCCGGGCCGGCGAGCATACACAATATAATCTTGCCTAACTGCTGCCACATGTGCATTTGATTTGTGCCGGGCCGGCGCAAGTCCATTTACAAAACGATGGCATTCCCTTTGTTTTTTTTAACCACTGTTGTCTTTGGATTTGCGCCGGGGTGTTCTTGTCTGACTGTGGCCAAATTTGTCTTAGATTTGCGCCGTGCCGGCGCAAACCTATTTTCTATTGACATTGCCTTGCCTAATATTTGTAGCCTCTGTTGCCTTTGCAGTTGCGCCGGGCCGGCGCAAGTGCACCAGATGTTCTTGCCTAACGTTATTGCCCGACCGCAACCAAGTTTGTCTTAGTGTCCAGCGTGCATGCGCAGTGTTCTGTACCAGGTTTGCGTTCAGTTTCAAGTTGCGCTTTACTTTGCGCAAGTTCTGCGTGGGGCTGCCCATCAAACTTACCTGCTTTCATCCAGGCTTCACAAGTTCGGCGCACATGCACCCTGAACCATCCTGTTTGCAATCCGATCGTTTTCAACCTGCGTGTCAGGGGGCTAGTGTGTGCCTAATTGCCAGCGCCCAGAGCATTTTTTGTTGGATGCGGGCCGGACCCGGTTTCTTCAAAACATGCTCCACCCCTTTCATGACCCTTCCATCCGCGATTCCGAATTCGCTTTGCTAAACGGTGCTGTTCCTTCTGGTCACTACTTCAGATCACACAAAATCGAGAGTCTTCTCGCGAGACAGTAGCACATTCTCGTAAATTTTCGCGCAGCACGTATGCCTCGCCTGCACGGTTCCAAACGGTTCCAAACAGTTCCAAACGGCTTCTCTCAGGTCAGGGGCGATGCGTCCAGCCCACGCCAGAGATTGCTTCATGTTTGCTCGTTCCTTGCAGCACCCGGCAGAAGCCCTCACTTCGGGATCTGCGAGCAGCCAGGTGGCTGTCCCCCCCCACCCGCGCTCGCAATCCTGCCGGGATATCCTGTGACGTCAAACCTCCAGGCAGGCGCTACCGCTACGACTTCTTGTGCCAAACTCAATTTGCAACATGTTTCCATCCTACGAAACATGACATGCCAGAAACCTTGCAGTAGTGTTTGTCCTCGTGAGTTCTCTTCGGGCAATCTGAGTCACACGCGCAGAGAAGAAAACAAGCGCCTACGCCCAATCGAATGTCTTTTCTACACACGCAAGCTTTCTGTGCCACTGATGTTGCATAAAATGGCCGGCGGAGACAACTGATTGCAACCACAAAAGTGCCGAAATATTGAAGCGGCTGAACTGTTCGGAACCGTTCCTTCAAAGCCCACACACTGGAATCTGAACCGTTCTGAACCGTGGCAAGTCGCGGGTGTGCACAAACTCATCTTGGTTCAGACCCGTTCGGAACCGTTCTGAACCGTTCCCGCGGCAAGCGCTCGGAAGCAAAAGAACCGTTCTGAACCGTTCTTTAGACGGTGCTGGCGCCCAAGGTTATCAGCCTTACACATACATCAAGATGTACCTGGTTCTTGAGACCAGTACTCGATCTTGCATTTGAAATTGGCACAGGCTTCTCCTTAAACATCTCGGTGTGTGTGGCCGCAGTGCCGCGCTGAATTTCATGTTGAATAGAAACTTGCAGCTTATTGCTTGCATACCATGTGGTGAGCAAATAATGTAGGATTGATTTGTGTTGAGGCTGTTTGCTGTCCGCAGGGGCAGGTCTAACTTACAACGTGAGTTGCGACGCATGTTGCTACATGGGTTCTTACGTACTTTGCAGGTCCGGGGCTGGCCAACACATAAAGAGGCCACAGTTTGGTCTAAATGATATATAAATGCAAAACTGGGACCACATGTGGCGGCAAACCCGGAATAGGTGGCTTCCGGTAGCTTACTCCTTTTCTTCAAACACCATCTTGTTGTGCCAACCCGCGAGGGATCCCCAAAAAAAAACATGCTTCCGTGCAGTTGCTGTTTTAAAAAGCCCCCGGAAGTCAAAGACGGTGTTGCGATGCGACGTCCATTTTTCCAAAGCAGGCCTAAACCAACGAAACCACGCAACGCACCCGAACGAAGAACGGAAACAACAAACAGCGACATGCTGAATTCACAACAAACTGACAAACACAAGCAACGAAACAAAGCAACAAAGAAACTCAGCAACAAAGAAGCTCAGCAACCAAGAAACAAAGGAACAAAGAAACACACACACACAAACTGGCAACAAAGAAACGCACACAAAATCGGCCGCCGAGTCTCTTGCAACCGAGACCAGTCGCTAGGACTCTCGTTGCGCCTTCTTTTTTTGCTGGGCTTCCCGGCGGCTTCCAGCGCCTCCTGCAGGCCGAGGCCATGCGCAAGGGCGGCTCCAAAGGCGAGGCCTCGGCCCGGGCGACGGCTCCGAAGCCAGGCGGCTCGAAGCCAGGCGGTTTGGCGGCTGCTCAGCTGGCCGAAAACGTGGAAATCTCCACGGGCTGGAGACCAACAAACAGCCTCCAGTAACTCAGTAAGGGAAGCTGTTGCCATGGGTAGGTTGGTTTTAATTCAGGTCAGATTGGCAGATTTCGCGGGAAGATGGTCTAGGCGGTAGCAAGTAGCTACCCCCTTACCCTCACATTCGACATGAAACCCAGCGGAAGGAGAATAGTATGTGTTTGCGGGGACCTCCCGTCAGGTTCCATGTTAGCGGGTGGACGGTACGTCCAAAGCAAAGACGCGGGAACAAGTGGAAGCAACAACAAGTGGGCTGTGTCCCACTATGTCCCTGCCAAAAAAACATGAACACCCACAAATGTAACCGCTGTGCTGAACCCGCAGCAACCAAAGTTTGATGTCGGCAGATGTCTGGCAGGTGTCGATTTGTGGAAACCTCCCTGTCTGTTATGGCGATCTATACAACCACACACCATTTGGGTGTTCCGACCACTTTACTGGCCTGCTCAGTTGACTGGCCACAAAGTTGAACTGTTTGGCTCTTACATCTTAGGATAGTGATGAACAAAGCAGCAAACAAACAGTCGAACGTTTGCCAACACAACAGGTAACAAAACTACATTAATAGCCAAGGGGTGTGAATCGTAATGGGGAGCCCTTTGGTGTACCACACTTGTGGTTGGTGTTCAAAATTCGCAGCCACCATCGATTTGAAGCCAGCCCAAGCTGCCGAAACCGGGTCCCCAGGCTCACTTGCTGCATGCCACTCGCACCTGAACGCGGCTTGCTCGTAGGCCCAGAAGGAAGCGGCGTACACCGAACAATGAAGCACCACCTATTGATATTTGGTTCTACCAATATGATCGAATATATGATATATGTTGCGAAGGTTTGCAGAACTAGGTTCGTGTGTCTTCTTTTAGGGACCTCCCAAATTGGTGGGTTTCCTTTTGGTTAAAAACCGCACAACAAGCCTTGGAACCCGCAAAAAAGCCACAACCGGGTGGGGTTTATAGGGTCGCTGTTCAATTGGGGACCCCGACTCGAAGGTTTTCTTATGGGCTTCCAAAAGTCATACAAGCAGTGACCGTCGATTCCGGCATCCCTAGTTTTGGGAAACTGCCATATGCACCATAGGTCAAAACTGCTGCGACTCATAGTCATGAGTCTCCAGGGGAAAACAGCAGGCTGGTCTGAATTCATTGTGCCTAGGTACAAATGCTTGGATTGCATCTCCATGCGGCCTCTATGCAGAGAACTCAGTTGCAGGTTGGCATCGGAGTACCTTTCTACTGCAGGATAGTTGATTGCAACATAGCGCCACCATGTGTCTCTTGTCATGCTTTCCTTTCAGTATGTCTTTGAGCAGATTCTGCCCATAGCTAAACGCGGGGATCTGGATTACTGATCTCGTTGCAAGCCCGGGGAAAGGCGGTGATCTGCAATTTTGAGGTCTGCACTGTTTCTGAACAAATGAAACTTGCGTCATGCACATGTACTGTTTAACCTGACTGTTGATGCTATGGTTGCTGTTAAAGCTATGCTGTCCTCAACGCGTGTCCTTTCAACGGATGATAAACATTGAGGGTCTTATTGGGAATCCAATTTCTCAGCACCCAGCGTCCATTTTCGCTGCCACCGACAATAAACAAAGCATGATACAACCAATGAAAAGGAGGTTTCTGTGGCCGGGGGCAAAACGGATACAATTTAATATAGTAGTGGATGTTTGAGGGCGACCCTCTCCAAAGTAAAATGGATGCCACTGAAGACCTGGGGTGAACAACATCTTTTCACCCAATGCTCTGAGTTGCTACCGGGGTCCTATACTTCAGCTGCGGTGGTTGAACCAAACAAGGCCCGGATCTTACTGACTTAAAACCGCCTTCAGCCACGAAGGTGCAACCTTTTTCCCTTTCCCATGTCGTCCAGTTGCCTGCGAAGCCATGTTTTTCATTTGCCGGTATGGCGGGGGGCAAGATCATATCAGAAATAAGCGCCATGTTCAGGCCTTTTGGACTTTCCCTGCCATCCATTGTGCCCGGCCAACCAATGACAACATCTTATGTCCCCGACTTTACACCGAAACACAACTCGTGGACCAAAACATGGGAAATTATGTTAACAAAGGAGTCAGGCTACAATCCCTCCAAGAAAGAGAAAGCCATTCGAACGAACTACAACCCCGACCCAGAAAACTAATTCGAGATTTCGTGGGAATCATCAGGTGCGTCAACCAGAATACGTGACTCACATGCTGTCTTAACTGGCTAGAGTAGACCGCAAGGATGCAAAAACCTGGCAAACATGCTTCAAGTTCAGAAACAGAACATGCAAAAGTGTAGCTTTCATTGTCTATGACTCCTACCTTTTGCTATCATCGAGGGCATAATTAAGTTGTCACAAGGGAACATGCAGGACCCCCAAAGCCAAACTCGCAAACAGGTTACCCCTACCCTCTGGGATGGTAGATCAATCTCCATGGGCCATCCAGGAGAATAGTTGACGGGTCCGAAGAAGTCGGGATACCACAAAAAGGAAGCTTTAAATAGTTTTAGAACTCAGCATGTCTATAACACCCAAACCTAACAGCCCCTTTAAGAACCCCTCATGTTCACTGGGGGCCTAGCAAGTCCTTGCCACTTTTTTGCGCTCAAAACCCGACCCCTTTCCGATTTGCCACGCCTGGGAGGAATGGCGCCACCGCGGCGGCCAGCGTTGCCGGGGAAGGTGCCTTGCCGAGACGAAACAAAGGGCCTGGGTTGGCGAGAGCTATGGTTGGAGCAAAGGTGTGCCAGATGGTCCAGTGGTTTTGAAGGGGCTTGGGGTGCACACAGATGTACAATGCACCGGTTTGGGCAAGAAGCTACGATCGGTAGACAGATATACGTCTGAAAGATGGTCCAAAGGTTTAAAAGGGCTTGCAAGGGTGTAGAGCTTGCAAAGGTTCTTAGTAACATCTGCAAACGGTTTGCATCAATGTAGAAGGAGTTTTCAAATGTCTACAAGGGCTTGCAAAGGAGTACAAAGGACTTTGCAAGCGATTACAAGAAACAAATAGTCTAAGTCTACAAGGTGGGTTTACAAGGCTTGCAAGGGATTGCGCGGGTTTGGGGATGGCAAAGGGCTTACAAAGGCTCACACGGGTTTAGAAGGGTTGCCAAGCATTTACGATTTGAGATAACTTTCCACAACCTTTCCCAAATTTCCCAAGTGTCCAAGGCTCAAAGAGCAGAGTCAAGGGCAAGGAATGTCACTTGCCGGTTGATCTTCGGTTGCATGCAGGTAGGCCGTCGGCTGTCACATTTGGGCCTGGTTTGAGGCTGGCTTTCGAGTGGGTGTTCTTGTTTGGGGCATCAAAACTCTCAGCCCAACCCGTCTCTTGACCTTGTGAACCCATCCTCCCATCATCCCCTCAGCTGTCACTCGGCGACTTTGCAAAGCTCACCTCCAGCGAGAGCTGAGCCACCTGGGCAAAGACCACCTCAGCGTTCTCGGCCAACTTGCGGTGACATGGAAACATGATCCGGAAACGCGTAGAGCTCCGGACGAAACGCGCAAGAAATCTACCCGGAGTGACTCCCCGTGATGGCCGTACGTGATGGCTGGTTTGTGGTTCCGGTGGGTCTGTGATACGTAAACAAAATTGACACTTCCTTAGAGGAACATACGTATGTGTCAAGCAAAGATCATCGAGTTTCTCTCCCGCAGCCTGCGCCATTTAAGGGAACCCACTTGGTAGTAGCCATACAACTGCCATGTTGGTTCCTTCTGAAAAGGGGAAGACGCCGACCAGGAGTCGAACCTCAGTACCGTGTTTGTCCCAATCATAAAGGACCTTTGTCTAAACATGATGATATGCGTTGTTCCATGTCAATCCGGGAGAGTAAGTGCTCCTATCACCAGCGACCGCTCAGCTCAACGAGGCCCGAGCCAAATCGATGCCAGTTGCAAGAGCCTCAGCCATGGAGTCTGTGGAGCAGGGAGCTTTTCAACAGAAAGCCTTCCTTTCCCAGTGAACAAACCTCGGGCCCCCCCCCCAATTCCACTCCCCAATCCCTACTCAATTTGATTTTTAAAAAATTCAGAAGGGAACCAGCAACCAACAGCAAGAGTGGAGCCAAGACAGTGGAGCCAAGGCTCAGATTGCAAGAGTATTTGAGGCTTCGAAGTTGGCGGAAGGGGAAGCCAAAAGGTGAAAAGCCGCGATTTTTGTTTGGGCCACCGTCCTCCATCACCAAGGATCGTGTCGACTCCAGCGGTTGATCATTTCTGGCCAGGCCCCAAAGCTGGCTGGCATGATTCGATTGGCGAACCCTCTCTAGACCATGGCATAGATGCCGGAGACAACACATGTTTGGGCCAGCACATGTTGTGTCCATGGGCAAGCACCTGCATGTACAGTAAGTCGACCGTGCATCAGTAAGTCGAACACCAGAAATCAAGAACCCCCTGAGCAAGGCCCTTGATTCTGGTCGCGAGGATATATCCAGAGCTGCGCCATGTCTGCGAGAGCAAACCTGTGCGGATTCGAATTACAGAATGTTTGACTGCAATCTGAAATCGGTATTGGAGCACTACTACAACAACCACCGCATCAAGGGACATGAACATATGGCATGATAATTAAGGTTGATGTTGAACAACAGGTTTTTTCCAGGAGTCTGATTGGCCAACCCAGTTTCGGGCATCTCACTAGCCTTCAGTGACCATGGGATTTTCTATCCGTACCCTGTTTTGTCGGATCTCTCAACTGGGGCCGCGCCCCCTCCAAAAAAAAAACGTAGCAGGAAGCACGTGGCGCGGGCGTTCCGCTTTTGCTTTTTTGTTTCTCTCTTTTTATTTTTATGTGGCAGTGCGCCATGGCGGACATAGCTGGGCTCCAGGGATGAGGCCAGGATCACATCTTTCGAAGTTCGACTTGCGAGCGTGGTTTTTTAGGTTGGACTTACCAAATAAATTTGGGGTGTCCGTTTAAAACCACACAATAACGCACCCAGACACACCCACTTGGGAGTGTCGTTTTTTAAGGTCGGAGCGCCCCAAAATCTGTGGTGTTCCTCGTGGTTTCCCTTTAAAACCACAACACGTAGCCTCAAAACAGGGACACGCCCACTGAAGTGCCAAGGAACCTTAGGGTGAACTCCACAAGATTGATTGCCAACTGACCAATCGATCCCTCCGATCGATCCCTACGGTAGAAACAGAATCAACCAGTGATTCATGTAGCTAACCAAGGGCAGCCTCTTGAAAAAACAAAAGGACAATAACTGGTTCCCTACCTACTACACTGGCAACTGGGATCCACTGGGCTATGATAATGACCCTTTCAAAAACGAGGCTTCAAGCACAACTTGCAAATTGGGTGACCCTGTCATTTCCATTTTCCAGTCGTGCGGATGTTTCTGGGGTTCTTATCCAAAAACCACGAAGGCAAGACAAGAGGAAAGAGGGTACCACTGCACCATGGGTGCAGGTTTTCATCTGCGTCCGGCTGAAAGGGATCAACAAATCCACTTTACTTTGGAAACCCACTCCAACTTTCGGGGAAACACCGAACAAAAAAGTTTGGGTGTGACGTTTTTGTTTGAAACTACCCTTTTGTTGGTAGTTTTGATTGGCGACCAAAAGGAAAACCATCATTTTGGAGGTCCAAATCCTAAACAACAGACATCCCCTTGTCCACTGATTGGTGGTTTGGAGGTTAGGGGGTAGGTGGGTTCACCCAGCAAACCTCTCCACGTTTCGTGTGGTTGATCCCAATTCCGCCACGGTCGGGTCTCTCCAGGGCCCTGGCGCCACTTTGGGCGGCCTCTGCACGGCTGAGGCCCAAGAAAGCCGCCACGGCCTGGGCGAAGGCCGTGAGCCCGTAGAAACTCCCCCCCCCCCGTTCCGGGATTTGTGTTTTGTTTTTGTTTTCTTTCCTTTTTTTCATTATGTTTTTTGGGCAGGGTGGGAGGGGCGGAAAATCCGGGATCTCGTTCCTGTTTAAAAAAAAAAACATATTACTATTATTATCATTAATATTATTATTATTATTATTATTCTTATTATTATTATTATTAATTATTATTGCTTTACTCTTTTTTCTCTCTTTTTTCCGGGGGGAGGAAATGTTCAGAACTATGGGGAAATGTTCAGAACTATGGGCAATGCGCCGCAATTTCCTCCGAAGAGCTGACGCAGAACGGTCTGGGGGTGCCTCACCTGGCCTGAGGCTATGCCCGGCGCCATATGGGGCCATGTTTGGGCTGCAAGCGTGTCTGCATGAAAACGGCCAAGCGGCAGAAAGGACAACATTGAACATGTTGGGGTTTCTTTGCGGGCATCAAAACCGCAGGAGCTTGGGCTCCATAAGGGGTCTTACTGCTCATTTTGCGAATTGCACTTTTCGCGAGACGACAACCCCAAGTGCCCGTGCCTGTGGCCCGGGGAGGAAACAAAATTGTCGTCTTTGAGATCGACCACAGACGAACCGACCTGCTAAATGGTTCCCCATCCATGGATCAAAACGCCACTTTCGACAGGGCACACATCAAGACAAGTATGAGATCTTCAACGCGGATTGATGACCTGGTAGGGGTGTCCCATTTTAGAGAGGATCCGGACCACTTTGTCAGTGGTGAAATAATTAGACAGTCTCCTCTGTGTTCGGGGAAAATCCCCCCATGTCCCTCAAAACAAATGGACTGCGTTGACCGAACCTCATGTGTTCTGCGATTTGCAACTTGAAGCCTTGGTTCTACCCCAGAGAGGGGACAAAGCTTTTGAGTTATGCCCAGCGAACGTTAAAACTTGCTGGCTCTCAGCAGGGAATGAGAAATGGAATGACCCCCTATAAACCATCCCTCCTATATTGCTACTTGCACCTTATCAAAGACTTCACTGGGGTCTCAAGGAGGCCGTGCTACCAAAAGGCAAGGTGATGCTCTCACGCAGAACATGGACTTAGAGGGACTGTGTGACAATATGACACATAACAAATTATATAACAAAGGAATGGACATATGATATATGGGTGTGTCTTTTTGTGGGGGACCCCCAAAAAATTGAGTGTTCCTTGTGGTTTTCCTGTAAAAGCAACAAAAATGGGGTAGACACACCCATATTCTGATTCAACCTCCTTTTGGGGGTGATTTTGTAGGCTTCATGGTCCATAGCCGGACATCCAACCGTCCCCCTGTCTGGGCCGAAAGACGCGCGTGACGCGGCAGCTCTCTTCGGCCTGCAGCCCATTGGCCGCGGAAGCAAAACACACCAAAACGAGAAAAAGACCGTATACCTACAATCCTTCCATGACCCCTGTCTTTTGGGTAAGGACCCCAATTTTAAAGGGTCATGGAGCCTCCAGGCCAAGCCAAACGCATGTCAAACAACAAGACGGAAAACGACAAACACACTAAACAAACAAACACAACAAGACCAAAAACGGAGCCAAACTGGCGAATCAACACTAACAGCACCATCAAGTCCACAGAATTGGATGGCACTTCATTTTCCCAAGAGGGGCAACATGGGTGCAAAACAGCATGGGGTCTGGCTTCATGGCACCCCACGGACCCTTATTCTATTTCAGACACTGTGAATTTCAGGCCTAGTACTGCTGAACTTCCAGTGTTACAGTGTCAGGAGCACTAATCCAATCAGGGAGTTACCCCACCTTCTTTTTGGCACAACTTGCTAACATGAGCCGACGGCCGAAGAAGGTCACTCATTTGCGCCAAAAAATCACCACACTTGCTCGTTCTCCATCCCCTGTTGGCCTGATGTTTGACAACATCCAGCAATCTCTTGGCCACGGCCTGGAATCAAATAGCCGGAAAGCGCCTCTTTCGCAGACCTCGCCATGTGTCTGATGCTCTGTACCGTTTCCGGCTCATGGAAAACCCGATGCCTGAAGCCCGTGCCTAGCGATTTGGAAGCGAGCGAGAACCCGCTTCCAGCTGGGAAAACAAGTGGCTAATACCAGGAAAGGGAGCCACAGGAAACAAACCCACCATGTCAATTGCGGGTCCCCAATTCCAAATTTATCTGCCTCCATTTGCTCAAGTCCCCTGAAATCAAGCTCCCTGAAAAGCTTAAGAAGAACACACATTGTCTATCGTGCTTCTTTTAAGGCCACCAGTCGCAGAGCCAAACGAAAGCGAAACGAGTGCCTGGAGCTCAGGTACCGCCACAAGCACCGAAGTCGCCACCGACACGGGGCTTCGGCTTCCGCTGGGCACCTGGCGTTCGCGATCCCTTCGCGACCCGATGTCCCGATGGATCTGCTCATGGACCCTGGCCCAGTGCTTCTGGTGACTGGGAAACCAGGAAAATCCAGGAAAAACCAACATCTAACCAGGGGAAACCAGGAGCAACCAAGGGGGAACCAGCTTGGACTATAGTAGGCAACCAGGAAAATATAGAGGTAAGGATTCTTGGTGCATTAAACATTTTGTGGTAACTGGAAGCAGTGGGGCGGAGAACAATTGGCCATGAAGTTAGCCACAAGGGGGAGATGTAGGGAACTCTACCATGGTAGCCTGCCAGTTGGAATTTCATCTGGAATTTCTGCTGAACCTTGTAAATGGAACCAAGGCCTAAAGCCTGCGGCTCCCGCATGTTTTAATTTTGACCCACAGCCATATGGAAAAAGGGAAGTGTGCTGACCGATGTTTGACATGAGACTCATGGCCCGGGCCCCTTTCAAGGGGTGCAAACGTCGCGCCTCTAGAAGTACCGAGATCGTGTGTACATGGGTTGTCACAACTAATATATATAGATATATGAGTCATGGACCATGGACACAGAGCTACTTCACAATACTATAAGCCTGCAAGCCTTAAGCTTGCTCTTTTGATACCTGGACAGCCAAACCCAGACCCCTGGAGGCCATGACGGGCCATTGTTGTTTTGATGTTGAAGATGTTGAAGGGACCCCGGCAAAAGAAAAACCACAGCACCAGAGGAGATCTGAAAACAAAACCATTGCACCTCGCCACCTCGCTGCTTCCATGCTTCGCGAGAGCTGCACGTACCCCCGCCCCCCCCCCCCCCCGGACTTTTTCCGCGACCTGGAGGCAATGGAAGGCCTCATTCGAGGCCCCAACTGCAACGCCAAAACATGTGGCGACGCCGTGGCAGGCGCTTTTTTCCCCGTCTGTTTGGCCGTTGTTTCGTTGGTACATCAACAAATAAGTTGTGTGTGATCGTTCAAAAAAAGAAAGAGGAAAAACCACACCTCTCACCTCAATGTGCCTTTATGCACAGTGTTCCTAAACCCTGTACTCCGAGTAAACTCCAAACCTTGTAAGAGAGGTTACTTACCAAGCCAATCTATGGATCAGCCTTCACTCAATAAACATACCAGGCCTGGAACCTTCATAGGGCCCAGAGGTAGCACTGAACTGGGTGCCGGTTCTGGTCAGAAAACATACTAGTCGTGTGTTTCTCAACATCGGGGTGCCTGAAACGGTTCTTCCCGTTGGTTTCCCTTTGAAGATCGCTACGGGGGATTTGGAGAAACTCCCAGTTAGAAACAGATTGCACCAACTTCACGAGTACTCTTCTCCAACAGTGAGCCCCAGATGGCCCTACAAATTCTTGCAGCCGAAACGAGTTGCGACTACCTGGAGTTTCAAGAATCCCGGCATTTTGCCCATAGTTTAGGGTAGCTAGACAAGATGTTGATCCTCTTTGGAAGTTTTGCAAACTCCAACAAGAATCTCGCCTGTCTTGCACTAAGTGATTGCAACCAAAAACAATCCGCAACGAGGAATTAGTCCATCCACAGTAGGTGTCAAACCGCTTACTTGGCAGGACGCCCGGGCTACCTCACGCACGCACCCGACTCTCTCTCAGGCTCATGCCACATTCTCTCTCCTTGCACGGAACCATGATACGGACCCCATCAAACTGGTTGTGACCCCTGCTCACATGGGTCTGTTGTGTTTTAAAGGAATTTTAAGGTATTTTGTTTGGTGGCTTTGAAGGAAACCACAAGGAAAGCACCAAGAGCATCAAATTAGACGAAGTACCTACCCAAATTGGAAGGGCTAAGGCTTTAACCGGGCCCCAATGCGGTTGAACCGCCGTTGGAAGAAAGGAATGATGAGACGGCCGTGCTGCGCGGCTGACACGGGCTGCGGGAAACCCCCTGCAACCTGTGCGGTTGCACGGGGCTCGCGGATGCTCTTTCGACTTTGGAGGTCTTGGCCCAAAGCGGCTGGTTCTCACTTCGGATGACTCCAGAATAAGAGGGCTGATGGACTCATCCACCTTCAAAACAACATGTATCCAGTTTGGAGTTCCAATCAACACTGTCATCAAAGCCATAAATGAGGGACCTTCAACACATACGGGGACTTCTATCGCCTCCCGGTGTGAGGTCGCAGATTTCGAGTTTATGTCCATCCAAAGTGAACACTAGGTCGTGCCCAGCGCAAGCACGAGTTTTCATTGTCAGGCACTGCTCCAGGCAAGACATATCGCATCAAATCGCCGCCCAACGGCGCCGATTTGAACTGGGTTCAGCCCACCTCGGGTGGCAAAGAATGGGTCTGGAAATGATTTCGGACATTGGCCTCGAGGACGAATAATTAATATTAGCGACAAGTGATTTCTCCAAAGACCACTTGGTCAACAATATAATATGGAAGTCTCCTGGAAGACCACTTGGTCAACAATATGGAAGACTCCTGGAAGACCACTTGGTCAACAATATGGAAGACCAACCTTTAGATAGTTGAAAGTCGGGGCTCCATGGTCAAGCCAGGGTGTGCCTCTGGAGCTAACTGGAGCAGCGCCGGCACGCTCGATTTCTTTCCGCGGCGCATATTTTGGCACGCTCGCATTGCCCCAAAATGGGCGAAATCGATTCTCGCGTTCAACGGGCAGCAGTGCGAAATGTCTTCCGATGGCGCCCATTCTCAAACATCTGAAGCACCGGGAACAACCAAGCCAAAACTCGGGAACATAGGAGTGTTCAGTAATTATTGTAGTGTTCTTGTCTCTTAGTATGCCAAAACAAAGAGAAGTCGGCTTTCGGCCGAAACGGCACCAATCGATTCTGAAGGGAGATTCGATCAGCACTGGTTGCTGCCATGAATGGACAGGTTTGTGTGGAGTTCCTCTGAAAACCCCTTCAACTAAACAAACAGGGTCTGAGGCACCCGATGAACAAAAAACAATAGGTGGCGTTCCGACCCCTTTGAATTCCTTTGCTTTGGCTTAGCCAGTTCTCGTTCACGAGCTGCCAGCGGCACCCGTTGCAGATGCCTTAAGCGGCGAGTGCAAGCAGTAAAGTGGAACTTGGTGTCAAATGGGTCAAGTACTTGGGTCCTTGGCATTAAAATGGTACTTGAGTCACAATCAACACCTGGTACAAAAATGGTGAACCCAGAACCATGTACAGAATTAGAAAGGCCGCAACTATTTCCGGCTGGGACTGCCCCTTACTTCAATTGTGGCTCACTTGGGTCAGACAGTGGTAATTACTTAGAAAATACCCCTGCTTGGTTCAAACAGTGGTACTTTGTAAAGTGGTCGAGAAGTGGTAATTGTTATTGAGGGTACCCTATTCAGCTGCTGGGTGTTTCTCATCGGGGAACCCCTTTATTGTGGTGGCGTTCCCCTTTCAACTTTCCCTTTAACCAACCAAAAGGGGGCGTCTTAAACTAGGGGAACCAAATGGTTGGTTTTCTTTCGATTTCCCTTTAAAACCAGCCAAAAAATGGGTTCCCCTAAAAAATGACGCATCCAGATATGTTGGCACGCAAGGACTACTGGCTCGTCCTGGTATGGCGAAGAGCCTGTCCTCGCTTCTTGACCATGTTGGGCAGACTCGTGTTGCTACCAAGTGTTGATTCTGACTCACTCATGTGGCCATGGGTCAAAATCCCGTACCCCCAGTGAACATCCCAATCACTAAAATACGTTCTAAAATGGGTGGTGAATTCACTTACCAACCAAAATGGGATCCCAAAACGGTTTTGACAACCACAGCCATGTGTACGGCGAAAACCGCCCTTTGCTTGGTTGGTCCGGGGTGGTAAGCCATGGACATGCCCCCACAAAATATGGGGTTTGGATCCTGGCACACATGGCTGTGGGTCAAAAATATGTGCCAAAAAGGAACCCTGGCAAATGGAAGCTTGGACCAACCTGCAGTGTTGTTTTGGAGTTTGCGTGGTGGCTTTCCTTTTCCTGGTGTTTAAAGGGCACCTAAGGGACCCAAAGGCATAGGGCCGGCGGGATATAAACCCACGACCTCCCATACATGGAATGCCATTGCGCCACAGCCCCGGATAGCAGTTCAGCTCACTTTTCATAACTGCGGTTTTCGTATCCGTCTCAAAATGCCGTGGTTCAAACCAGCAACACAATGGGCAAAGAACAGGTCATTTTGAATAAGAACAAGCTAGTGGTTGGGATGCCAAGGCACCGGATTTCAATGAGTCGCCGGAGTGTCGTCCCTCAGGGACACACAGGCGAATCCTGGCACGCTGATGGGAGGCGGCATCCCCTTGAGAAGATGTGATGTGATGATATCTCTCCAACGTTACCATGGAAGCCACCGCAAGTGTAGGGTGTGGAACACGGGCAAGCAGTTTTGCAGATGGGCCCAGCTTGTCTCGCGCTGCAGATCCTTCTGACGACTCTTAGATGCCCAGGCCACCAGTGTATTTCCACGGCCAATCTTTGCTGGTAGTTTATCTTTGAAGGGCCCCCCTCCAAAACAAGCAAAAAAGGTGGGCACTGGGCGTGGGTTGTCAAACACAGACCAAAATACCACCAGTTTTACTCAACCTAACTTGCCGTCTTGCTGGCCCTTAGAGCCTTTCCTGGGGTCTGCAGGGGGCCTTTGGTTCCCTCTCTTGCTGTCCCTTTTTGAGGAAACCCTTAACACGGTGGCCCTTTGGTTTCCCTTCAAAGCAAACCCTTTCGACCAAACATGGAACTGAACAGGACCCTTTCCCACAAGGGTCCTGTAGTCTTGCAAAGGGGGTCTGCGCACGAAACCATGCTTGTTGGCGGGAAGGTAAAGAAGTCTACCCAAAACGCCCAAAACTGGCAAAGATATTGTAAAAGGGCGGAGATCCGCACAGATTGCTGGTTGCGACCGTCCAGTACTACCTTCATCCGGATTGATTGTGGCTCACTTCCCCATAATGATGGAGGTAAAAGGTCAAACGTGCTAAAGGACGAACCAAAAAGCCACCAAGCAAATTGCTACCCTGGACCG